TTTGGATGAACTAAACGAAATTGATCGCAAAGAGGGGGATGTCGGTCTCAACTCAGATGAATCTTGCAGAATGGACAAACTGAAAAAAGAGGTGGCGGAAAAACTTAATAGGGAGGCAATTTCTTGGAAACAAAAATCCAGATAAAAATGGTTAAAAGATGGTGACAGGAACACTAGATATTTCCAATGTCTAGCAAATCATAGAATGAGAAATAATTATATTGAAGAATTAAACTTTGAGGGGAAAATGATATCGGGTAATGCTGATCTTAGGGAAGCTGCCAAAAATCATTACCAACAGCTGTACACTAAAGATTTTCCGATGCGGCCTAGACTAGACAATCTTCAATTTGATACCCTTGACTGTGCCAACAGAGAGTTTTTAGAGACTGAATTCTCTGAATCTGAAAATTTTGCTACCCTTAAAAGCTGTGATTAAGTCCCCCAGCCCTGATGGTTTCAACCTCAAATTTATGCAAACTTTGTAGTACCTATTGAAGGAGGACATTCTTAATGTTTTCAAAGAGTTACATCAGGATGGAGAGTTTATAAAATATCTAACTTCCACTCTTATTGTTTTCATCCCTAAAAAGGAAGGTGCTAATTGCTTTAAGGATTTCCAGCCTATTAGCTTAATGAGCAGCCTTTATAAGCTTATTTTCAAAGTTTTATCTAAAAAACTATCTCATCTACTTCATTTTATTATTGGGGAGAATCAACATGCGTTTGTAAAAGGAAAACAAATCTCTGATGCTTTCATGATTGCAAATGAACTTGTTGATGAGCTGATTGTTAAGAAAAAAAAAAGGGTCCTCATTAAACTTGACATGGAAAAGGCTTTTGATCATTTCAACTGAGATTTCGTCGATTACATGTTCCGGTGCGGTTATGGTACCAAATGGAGAAAATGGTTAAAAACTTGCACTACCTCTACAAGTTTTGAAGTGATGATTAATGGTGGGTCTTCCCCTTTTTTTCCAGCTCATAGATATTTACGCCAAGGTGACTTTCTTTCCCTTTTACTCTTTATTATTGTTATGGTGGCTTTTAGCAAACTGTTATATAGGGCCACTGATTTGAACATGATTAATGGCATCACCATTGAGAAGGAGAACAGGCAGATCAAATTATCACATATCTTTTTTGCTGATGACTCTTTGATTTTCTGTGAGCCTATAACTGAATACTTATTACACTTGAGATGCGTTCTCCTTTGTTTTTAAGCTATTTCCGGTTTAAAGATTAACATGAATAAAACAGAGTTAGTGGGCATAGGTCTTAATTTGGATGAAGATGATCAATTGGCCACTGTTTTGGGCTGTCAAGAAAAGAACCTCACAATCAAATACCTTGGTTTTTCACTTGGCCTCAAATACAAAGATCACAAGGGTTGGGAACTAATTGTTGATCTTTTTGACAAAAGACTTGCGAC